CCGCTCCGCCATCCTGACAGCAGGCAGCGCTCCCTCCTGCGCCCCCCCCCCTTAAGGGGGGGCGGACGAGGGAGCGCTGTCATATCGGATGGCCGGCGCCCAGCGGTGAGGGGGAGAGACGCTGCCCCCAGGACGAGCTGTGTCGGCCGCACGGCGCCCTTGTTGCCATGGCGCCCTGTGCGGCCGCACTGCTCGCACACCCCTAAGGCCGGCCCTGCCCACTCCTTAACATTACAGGGGGAAAAGCTAGGTAGGATTTTCAAGCAAGAAAAAAACATTAAAAAAATGTAAGCAGCAATGCAAATGGGAACTTGTAACAAATATAAAGATGTTATCCCCATTTGGTTGAAAAAGTGGAAATACATTTTAAAGCCTTTTAAATGCAATACATTTTCTTGAAAGCATTCTGTTTGACTTGATTGAGAGTCTCAGGCCAATGTTCAGTTGCCCTAAACCAAGTATATCCACTTCAGAACCGTTGGCTGGGGGACGTGGCCTAGCTATGACGGTGTGAAGACGCTGATCCCTTGAGCTCTGCTGCCACCCGAGCATCTTACAGTAGATCACTACCTAATTCAGTGCCTTAATCGATGTCCAAGAAGGGCAAATCATCCAGAACCGTTAGCGCGTGGAGTACCGGAAACCTCCACCATTTCTTCCCGTCCTCAGCCGTCTCCACGTGCTCCTCCAAGGCTAACCGCATGGCGCCGTTTGAGCCAGCGCGGCCTACAGCATCCCTCTCACCTCGGGACTTGCCGGGATCTCCCCCACCTTCTACCACCAATGAACGAAGGTCCTCTACGGAAGATCCCCCTCGAGACTCCTCCACCACCAGCATGGACCTTTCCTTACACCACCTGATGGACGCTGCCCGAGCCCCACCGGCCGCCACCGCGCTGCACCTATCTGCCAGAGAGATATCCTCCATCCTGCTCTCCCTCCCGACCAAACAGGATATCGCGGACATGGTATCCAGGATGGAAGTGGCCCTTAAACGGGACATAGCTGGCGTCACGACCGCGGTCTCCCAACTCAAGGACCGGGTCACCTCTCTCCATTCGGATCACGACGCAGTCACCCAGTGGCTGGCAGCACTAGAATCCAGGTCAAGCGGCACTAGAATCCAGGCTAAATAAGGCTAACTACGTTAACCTTGCATATTTTCTATGTTTTTCCAAGCTACACTTACAAAAGGAGAGTAAAATAATGACAACATATCGCTAGTAAATACACTCACTTTACAAGTGAAGGGCAGCAAATGGTATATTTACCCTGGCAATGAGTGCTATTAAGTCTTTTATAACCCAGAGGACAGTCTGAGCCCACTTCACCTCGGAATGGTGCAGATTTATGTGTGCCAAAATCTGTAAAACAGAAAAAAAGTCACAAGAAGAGTTAATATACCTTACTTAGTCCCCATCCCCCCACTATTGTCTGCTGTAGTTTAGTTCCAACAGCCCTGGAAAATCTGAATCCAAAATCTGAGAGAAGTGAGAAAAAGAAAAAAAAGGGAGGGGAGTGAGGAAAGAGGATATATAAATAAAGAGACCATTCTGGGCTGCATTTGGCTGCCTTCTTTTTGCATTCACAAGCTTTGACTTTTGGAGACATTCATTATTATACATATTTTCAGTAGTCTATCTATACTGGTAGGAAGAGAGGAAAAGAATAAACAAAACAAAGATTCAACTTAAGAATTGAAGTTTTGTAACAAAATATACAATTTTACCAAAAGAATGATTCAGTCTCAAACTGCATATTAATATCCTGAGTTTATCCCAGGGGTCTGATGTAGTATCAACCTTTCCTAAGCCAAGATATAGGTCTGTACAAACTACAGTTTAGAGGGGAAACTCTACTTGCAGGAGCACATTACACTACATCACACCAAGTTCATTCTTTTTTTTTTAACAAGTTAAAGTCTATGTCAGGGCAAAAAAAAAAAAAAAACCCCACAGTATTTAGTACATCTGTGCAATTACATTCACATTTCCACATTTTATGTTCTGTGAAAACACTGCAGATACTGAAAAATACAGTTTGATCTGCAAGAAATCAATTTTGCTCTTAACTAACTGTTTGAGCACACAACACAATTTATCAAAACTGAAGCAGACAGATTCTGGAGCAGTTGCCCATAGCAATCAATCAGCTTCTCTCTTCAGTTTACTCGGTTACGATTTGAAAATGAAAGAGAGAAACTGATTAGTTGATATGCACAGATTTTGTCTGCTCCAGTTTTGATAAATTTCCCTTCGTGTCTTTGCTGCTGTGTTATCAGGCCAGCCTGCTGGACTAAAGAACACTATCTACCCCCTTACCCCTCTCTGCCCCACTCTATATGTATATGTTGATTTACCACCCAGTAAAACAATGCTTCTGCCTTTACTCTCAAGACCCTGCCCCCCTCACAGTGTGTAGGAAAAGAGTTCCCCCCACACTGCAACGGTTAAGTGCTTGTTTTTTCTAGGGAGCTATAACAACAGCCCATCATACAAACAGTGGACGCAGCCACCATAGGTACCGAGTAGGAAAAAACAACAAAGAAAAAACGAAAAAACACTGAAAAATAAAGATACCACAAAACCAATATAGCAACCCAGGGTTCTGTGATAACCTGGATACACCCTCCGTGGCTATTCAAGGTTCAAGCCCGTGGAGACCATGTGGGGGCCTCCGATGGGGACTACGGTTTTTGTATGGATATCGGCCTGATAGGTGACAGCCTACCTGGTAGGTGTCACCCTGATAAGGCCCAAGAAGATAATTCTACGTCTAACCTCCAAGTGTCATGGGTGAATTAAAAGGACTTCCACAGTCTCCTCGCCAGGTGGGTTGTTAGATACTAATTTACTCTAGGTTGGGTTGTGGGAAGAGAGAAAAGAAGAGAAACTAAAGGGAGCAGGTATGGGAAGAGAAAGGAAAAGAATTAAGGAGGGGGGAGAGCAACCCAG